GCAAAATAAATGTTTGTTCGAATGTACATCATTTTGCATGTTTGTTCGAATGTACATCATTTTGCTCAATCAACTCGAAATTTTAAGTTAAGATTTTATTGAAACTTCGTCAGTATATCAATTGTGTTATTAAGAAATGATTCTAAAAATTTTATTACAATCTCTGCGATGAGATTCGAGAAAATTAATTTTGAAGAAAAATGAAGGTGTTTTTATTTTGAATCGTTTATCCAAATGGCTTCGCTTTTTGCCAAATTAATTTATCAACAAGAATTATCGATAATCACTGTGACTTCTGTGAAAGTTTGAGTGCAATTGAATCGAAATTTGCGACGTAGTTGGAGTTAAAAGTTTAGGGACTCGGACATTCTGTGGAGTGGGGGGAATAAGTTTGGAGTGTTTCAAAGCGTTTTGCTTCGGAATTGTTTGGCCGTCTAAAAACTGGTATAACTAAAAGCATTATATCAAACCAGCTATACTACCTTTTAACTTTGTTTATGTAGACTTATCTTAAGGACGTTCGTGGGCAATGGACTCCGTGATGTCACTTCGATGAAATTTTTTTGGGAAATACGCGATGAGGAGGAGGTCACCGACTTCATTTTAGAGATAATTCTTGCACAAAATCACCAAAATTGTCAAAGAAAAGCGCGCGAAAAGTGTTCGATGCCGTCTGTCAAAARASTTCBCMAAAAATATAAAACACATATCAATTGATCCAAATTTTTCCACAAAAGCTGAGGTCGACAATTGTTAATATTGTTTACGAGACTTTGAAAGATTACATGATGTGATTTTTGATTCCTTTAGGATTTTTGTCGGTGTCAAGCCGCCACATTCGACGTCAACAAGAGGTGTCATTTTCAGCAAAAACGGCTATATTTCAGAAACCTCTGGTGTCGTTTTTTCCGCTTTCACATATGTTATAGCGGAGCTCCCGCGCGGGCCGAAGGCCCGCGCGAGCGGAGCGCCATAGCTAAGAAAAAATGGTATACCATCGAGTCGATTTTCCATGGACCGACACAGGGTTCCCGCGCGTACGCACGTTTCCTTCCGTCCTTCGTCCTGGATTCCGTGTACCATCACAGGAAACCCATACTCCGCTCGAAAAGGAAACAAAGGGCCAAGTATTTGTTGAAAAATCGAATTTTTTTCCTTAAACATTTATATTACATATTGATAATATTAGAACAATTTATCACAAGGAAAAAATCCACTGAAGAGCGAAATAACAGCACAGAAATATTCCCGCCAATTTTGTCATAACTTCGACGCGTCCGCACATCCGGGAAATCGATTTGCGAAGATGAAAAGCAATTTAGGCCCATCTTAAAAGTGATATTAGAAAAAAGGATTTTACTTTGATATTTCGACAACAAGAAAGAGATGATACTTTATTGGAAATACTTCAATAATATGGACCAATATGGGAAAAAGCAGGGATCTATGCGAAGTTCTTTTGTCGACTAAAAGTGTGGACATTTCGAAACCAAGACCATGCTAGCAGTTAGATTGAGAGAGATTAAAAACAAAGAATCTACAGTCTTGAATGACTTAATAAATTGATGAAACCTATGCTTGAAACAAGTATGGCTCTGTTGAAGATGACCTTTGAACGATAATTTATCGGAAGTTCGATAATGAAGGTAAAAAATATATTTTTGTATACAGTTTTCTGTGATATGTGAAGTTCGAGTAGTCCGGGTTCAAACATCGATTATTGAAACAATGTTGATTATTGTAAGCTTATGTAGACTACTTTTTGCCGAGAAGCTTTCAGTTTACTTTTAATTATAATTTTAAACTTCATCCAACGGAACAAAATCTACCGAAGTCAATATAATAGTACGAACTAAATTCTCATAAACATACTCTTTATAATATTTGTTCGCATGTCAACAAAACTGTTGTAGCTCA